TTGTAAAATGTTTTATACAATTTAATTAATAATTAATAATTTTTAAATATTTTTAATTAAAATTATTAACTATTAATTTATTATATAAAAATATTTATAAGAAGAGTGAGGTTCAACTTACTCAAAGAGTAAATTTTTTTAGTTTACTTCAAATTATAATTTTTAAATTAGATTTAATTTAATGGCTAATTAATTAAAATGTTAACTCATAGATTAAATTCAATTTAAAGGTTATGATTTGTAGTAAGTTATAAAAACTTACTCTTAGAGGGAATAAGTTGAACCTCACTCTTATAAAAATAGTCACTTTTTAAAATTAAATTTATAAATAAATAAATGCTTACTCGGCACCATAGTGGTAGCTCCACGTATTAAATGACAAAAGTGCATTTAAGGCTAAAATAAATGCAAAATTACATCAGGGTCCTTTAGGATATTTAATTATAACAGATTGGTCCTTTAAGTTTTGTTTTCTTCAATAAGTTATTCCTTTAAGTTACATAACGTCCTTTAAGTTAGTCTTTAAGTTGCCTTTAAGTTAGATCTTTTTTAATGATTTCGTTCTAAAAATGCATAACTATCGTTAACGGTGCTTATGTGACTGTAACATTGCTGAGATGCCATTTTTTTAATATTACTTTAAGTCATATGAAAAATTTGCTTTCTTCTTCATCAAACCTCTAGAACTAGTCATCCTCTCTCAATCGAGTTCATCTTCTCCTTTCTATAACAATGACTTTATATAGTACAAATTTCTCAAATTTACGTAATCTGAACTCTCATTCCTTCATTTCGAGTGCAACTCATGGTGAAATTGAACTAAGGTGTGCTTGTGGAGCAAAGGCAGTGATACAAAAAATTAGGAAGAAATTACGAAACTTTGGTAAGTTATTTTGGGACTGCATAAATTTTATGGTACGTTTATCGATATTATCTGCTATGTCTTATTTGATAATGCTAACTGTTATATGCTAACAGAGTGAATGTTTAAATTGTGACTGCAAGTTTTTTGAGTGGGTTGAAAAAGAGTGCAATGGTGAAGGGAAAACAAAAATTAACACACAAAAGAGATGTTCAAAATGCAATAAAAAAAGCAAAAATCAACATGTTGAAGAAGATGATGAAGATCCATGAAGATGACTACTACACAAAGGAGATGATGAAGAACATGTTGAAGATACTAGTTTTTGTCATTATGTTTTTAGTTGTAATTTTTGTAATGTTGATGTGCATGTTGATCAATAAATGGTGATTATGGTTTATGTTGATGTTAGTGTTGTAAGACAAATTGTTAATGTGATGTTGTAATCATTTTCTTCAATGATGATGTTTATTTTGTGCCCAATTTGATGTTGTTAGATTCTGTCAAATTTTATGCTGCAGTAAAGACATAGTTTGTGCCCATACTTGTTACACTAATGAAGACTTAAAGAATATATTCGTTAAACTAAAAGTAAGTTAATTGACCTGTGTTTAACAACTTACTTTACTGTAAAGACAATGAACCTCAAAATTGGACAAAATAACATAACATTCCTTGATTAAACATAAAAGGCCTATTAACCAAAACAATGATAAAGCCTTAATATCCTTCATTAAACCAACAAAATACATGAAGTATCTATCCAAAATACACAGTAGACATCTAAAACATATAGTCGTCATCCAAAACACATATTTCTAAGTCATCTACATAACACCCTAAAAACAAAAGCACCATCCAAAATACATGATCATAGTTCATTAAAATACAACAAACAACATTCTAATAGTTTTTTTTTCTCTTTATGGGCAGCTTAAGTGTGGTCCTTCTTAGTTGCTGAAAAGCTGCAGTTGGTCCCTAAAATGCTGCAATGCCTATTCTTGGTGATACCCTTGTTTGGAGTGTAGGGGTTGGTCCCTGAAATGCTGCAATTCCTTTTCATGTTGATACCCTTGTTTGGAGTGTAGGGGTTGGTTGTGTTTGGTCTTGTGTAACTTAGTTTTGGTTTCTTCTTGGTGATAGCTTTGTTTGAAGTCTTCTTGTTGGTTGTGTTTGGAATTTTGTTGATTGAGTTGAGTTCTTCTTGGTGATAGTCTAATTTGAAGTCTTGTGGTTGGTTATGGTTGAGATTGTGAATTTATGTGTTGGGTTCTTCTTGGCGATAGTCTAGTTTGAAGTCTTGGAGTTGGTTGAAAATCAATTAAAAAATATAATTATTAATTTCTTAAAAATCAATTAAAATTTGTATAAAATAAATTTCTTAAAAGACTTAATTAAAATTATTAATCAATTATGTAAAAAATATTAAATAATAAATCATCCTAATCATATTGTCATGTCATTAAAATTATTTTTTTATTCTAATCACCAATGTCACATATCCAAAATTGGAGGGGGACCAACCAAATCTCAAGTGATGTAAAATTCAGAGACCAAAAAGTTGATTTTTAAAATGAAGGGACTGGAAATTAAAAAACATTAAAGTAAGAAGACCAAAGGTGCATTTAAGTAAAAAAAAATTATGTTAGAGTTTATAAGGCTCACACATATTTGGGTTAATGTCCTTAATGACTTGGAATGAAACATTGGCCTTAAGCTCGGAAAATGTTTTATACATTTTAATTAATAATTAATAATTTTTAAAAAAGTTTAATTAAAATTATTAACAATTAATTTATAAATAAAAATATTTATAAAAAGATAATCATTATTTTAAAGTTTATAACGACACAAATGCTTACTTGGTACCATAGTGGTGACTCAATGTATTAAATGACAAAAGGGCATTTAAGGCTAAAATAAATTCACTTAAGCTTCAAATCCTAGACATGCTTTGAGAATTAGATCCATATTTTTGATGATATTGATAGCATTTGATCGTGTAAAGTTATTATTAAAATCTGTTTAAACATAAAATCATTGCTCTTGATCCATGTATTCTACTATCAATTTGAATGAATGAATATTTATTTATTTTTTGTTAAAGAAAAGTTAAAAGTATAGTCATGTTTGATTGATTCTATTTTTTTATGGATAAACTCATATATAATAAAGTTTATACACAAATAAAAGAGAAACGAACAACAAATTGCACCACTATCCATTTTTGGATGACAAAATAAATTATCTTAAGAAATACATCCATAAACTAGGTGATACAATATTTCTATGCATAAATATTTGGGTTCTCTGTAAAAGATTTATTGCTTCGGGTGCTAGGATATCAAAGGCAAATGGTATGAAAATATGTTAATTGTCCGAACATATAATCTCATGTTTGACCACTTTACTTATAGCAACTTTAAGGACTGTTTGTCCCACTATAAATCCTCCAATTCTTAGTCCCATTAGTGGAGAAATCCCTATCAAGTACACACATGCATGTTTTCTTCATATCTACTCATACACCTGAACATCTGTTTGCCTAAGTGTCGGTCTCCCATCATGTGAGTCAGTTAAGAAATTCACACACGCCTCTTTCTTCACAAATACTTCGGTCTGCCGAGAGATATCAAATAGGACATCCAGAATAAGGTCAAGTCAATATTTGAAGCATGAGAATTCCTTACAATGAATCATGTGTTCCCTAAATGTATTCAAACACGCATTGCGACAAACATGACAAACCTTATCAATAGAAAATAAGAGAATCATAAGGTAATAACACAAAATAGTATGGTACTTCACTGGTGGCATATGTTGACCTAGCCCATCAATAGGAATAACAAGGAGAAATTTATGAACAAACACGACTTACAAACAACCAAAAACGACTTTATGTCTTATGGTCATGTCAAACTTTACATCCATGTCTTGAACACTTTTACTAAAAAGGCCTATCGTTAAAACATGTTGTGCTTTAGGAGAGACAATGTCATTGCTAGTAAAACCGATAAGATCAATATTTGGAATTGAAGTATTAAAACCATCTAAAGCTCTGTCGAAATCAGAGTTCATACCATATATCATATTGTCTCTCAATATATGATCATGTAACATTACAAAAGCGTATGAGACAACCTCTATTGTCGAGTACAAATCCAATCCCCCCACTCTAATTGGTAAAGAAGTCACCCTCCATTAAAACTCCCCCCAAAAATGACCTCTACCAACAACAATGTCTTCAATCGCAATTTGCAAAAGCGTGAAAAAAACGAGGTCGAGCGAGACAGACATTTAATAAGGGCAAACTTAAAACCTTGACTCGTGCGACAAAAAAATAAGGATGAAGTAGGACAAACCTATATACATTGCATCTTTTAGTTTAAAAATTATAAAATTTTATGTTAATGTCCGCATTTGTAAAAAAATTGTAAAAATACAAACCAGAAAAGAACAGACATATTAGAAAGTGCAAAGCTAAAACTTTAGTCCATCCCAAATCCTGTTTTACAATTCCTAGATTCAAGACAAACACATAAATTTTTTGACAAACACATAATTTTTTTATTTAATTACGATAAAATTAAAAAATATATGATATAAGCTACTATACACCTCCTTATAACGTCATTCTTCTGTTTCTTTGGTTCAAATGATATAAAAGAGAAATTTATTCGATGAAATTGATTTTATAAATTAACAATAGTTCAAAGTGCATTCATTAATATATTATACTATTTTGTTTAGTTATAAATTTAACTTGTATAATAAATTTAAATATAGAACATATTTAAAAATAAAAATTAAATATATAAATGTAATTGATGTTTACAAATATACTTGTAGTTTTTAATTTGTTTTTAACTTTTGTATATCTGCATAGACCAAAAAAATTTCAATCACTTTTCTTAACTCATAAGAGTGATAAAACTCAGCAAAAAAATAATACTGTAGGACCCACCTAACCTTTCAGACTCTGTAGAAAGAATCTAAAGACCAATTTTCTAGTTTCACATTATCTATCATCACTGCCAGCAACAACCTCAACAACAACATTAAACTCAAATCCAACACTGTATGTTTGTTCAAAACCCACAAACAGAACCAAATCCAATCACACAACACAACACTCATCATGTCAAAACAAACATACAGTGTCTGTTTATGCTGGCGTAGAAGATTCAAGCTAGCTTTATCAGAAGCACCACAAGAGATCAAGACCCTTTTTGATCAATACTCAGAAAATGAACTCATGACACCTTCAAACCTTAAAACATTCTTAGTTGAAGTTCAGAAACAAGAACATGCTACTGAAGAAGAAGCACAAGCTATCATTGATAGTTTCAAACATTTTCATCGGAGGGGTGCTGGACTTAACCTTGAAACTTTTTTCAAGTTTCTCTTCAGTGATAGTAACCTTTCTATTTTACCTTCAATTGGGGTAAGTTTAGATAAATAAAAATATGATTTTTAATGTTTTTGTTCTTGACCCATGTTGTGTTTTTTAGTCAACTGAATCTAGATTTGGTTAATTTTCAATTGGGGTGTTCTTAGTGGGTTTTGTACCTTGTTTATGTTCTTTCATTTTCTGACCCTTTTTTGTTTTATATAACCTTTTCATTTTCTGCTTGAAGTTTTGTCTTTTTTTTCCCCACAATTTTGCTTAGGATCTTATTTTCCAGTGCCTTAATTCAGACAATTTCTTGTATAATTGTACTTGTTTTCTTATTCTGATCTGTGTTTTTGTTTTCAATTCCAGGTGCATCATGATATGACATTACCCTTGTCGCATTATTTCATATATACCGGTCACAATTCGTATCTAACCGGAAATCAGCTGAGCAGTGACTGCAGCGACGTTCCAATCGTGAACGCGTTGAAGAGAGGCGTAAGGGTGATCGAGTTGGATATATGGCCTAATGCTTCGAAGGATAACGTCGATGTTCTTCATGGAAGGTAAGGTAGCAGTTAAAAATGGTTACATTCTTGAAAATTTGAAATATAATTGCTTAGATATTGTTTTTTTAATGTAGGACATTGACAACTCCGGTAGAGCTCATTAGATGTTTGAGGTCTATTAAGGAACATGCCTTCGTCGCATCAGAGTATCCGGTTGTAATAACGCTAGAAGACCATCTTACTCCGGATCTTCAGGCTAAAGTGGCTGAGGTTAGTAAACTGAACTTGTATTGGAATTCAAAATACTTTTCTGTTTGGTTAAGCAATTCAAAAATGCTTATTGTATAAGGTCCTTCTGTATAGTTGATAACTATGTCCAAATTTTTAGATGGTTACTCAAACGTTCGGAGACATACTATTTGTTCCTGGCTCGGAAAGTTTGAAGGAATTTCCTTCTCCGGAATCACTTAAAAAGAGGATTATTATATCGACCAAACCACCTAAAGAGTACCTTGAGACAAAAGAAGTAAAGGAAAAAGAAGATGATTCATTGCATGGAAAGGCTTCGGGCGATGATGAAGCTTGGGGGAAGGAGGTCCCGAGCTTCAAATGTGTTTCTATATCTGATTACAAGGTATGAGACTGAACCAATAGCATGCAAAGAAACCGCACTACAATTAATTTTGCTAGGGAGATTTGTTAATTGCATATGAATTTTTATCTTTAGGGAGTCAATTTGGATAAAGAAGATATTCACGACGAGGAAGATCCTGATGAATCGGACAAATCACATCATCATGTAGCTCCGGAATATAAAGGTTTAATTGCAATTCATGCTGGGAAGTCGAAAGGAGGTATAGAGGCATGGCTGAAAGTAGATCCGGAGAAAGCGAGGCGTATAAGTTTAAGTGAGCAACAACTTGAAAAGGCTGTTATAACTCATGGGAAAGAAATTGTCAGGTATTGTTACATATTTCTAAGGAGTCTTTTTTTGGTATAAACCAGATGTCCTCCCTCTGTGCGCAACTGCAGAGACTAATCCCTCGAGTCAGAGAGGACCATAATGGGCGGTAAAGCTCTTCTAGAGAGTCTTTTTAATGGTTGAATTAGTTTTTTATGTTTCTCCATCTACTTAGCATATCTAATAGGAAATGGTTTTGGTTATCGTTGTTGAATATGTTTATGTGTGTGTGTGCGCACGTGTCTGTGTTTGAATAAATTTATATTCACCTCATTGTTGACTTGCTATAGGTTTACTCAGAAGAATATTCTGAGGGTGTTTCCAAAAGGTACTCGCATTGATTCGTCGAATTATAACCCATTAATTGGTTGGGTTCATGGAGCTCAAATGGTTGCGTTCAACATGCAGGTTTCTATTTCTTCCTCTTCCACATTACTTCAAGCTACTAACTACTAAAAAAATATCCAGATGTTTGATAAAATAGTCCTATAAAGCACTGATACAGACACGACACAGACACACGGTGGTTTTCGTAATAATTTGAGAAGATGAAAGTAATTGGCATTACTTTATCTAAGTTAGTTTTCGTCGTGGCTGATTCCATGGTAGGGATATGGAAGATCACTTTGGTTGATGCATGGAATGTTCAGAGCCAATGGAGGATGTGGTTATGTTAAAAAACCGGATTTTCTCTTAACGACCGATCCTGATAACAAGGTCTTTGATCCTAAAGCTAAGTTACCTATGAAAACTACTTTGAAGGTAAAGGCTTTTCATCAATCACTTTCCTCATCCAAGCGTATCTAATTTAATATTGACTAAGATGGTAAGATCATACTCTAATTGTTCTTAGGTGACCGTATACATGGGAGAAGGATGGTATTACGATTTCAAGCATACACACTTCGATCAATATTCACCTCCCGATTTCTATGCTAGAGTAAGTTAAAATTTTCTACCAGAGTCTGGTTGATTAATTTATTTGAACTTATCTACCGACATAACATTTGTGAAACCGTTTGATAAATTAAATACAGGTTGGGATTGCTGGGGTCCCGAATGATAGTATAATGAAAAAAACAAGAGCAATAGAGGACAATTGGTTGCCTACATGGAACGAGGTATTCGAGTTCCCGCTTACCGTTCCGGAACTAGCCCTACTTCGTATAGAAGTTCACGAGTACGACATGTCTGAGAAAGACGACTTTGGCGGCCAGACATGTCTACCTGTTTCGGAGTTAAGAAGCGGCATTCGAGCAGTTTCACTTCATAGCCAGAAGGGAGATAAATACAACTCTGTAAAGCTTCTTATGCGATTTGAATTTCATTGATTATGTTCTCATCATTCTACTTTTCATTACTTACGTACTACTCTGGTCACTATTACGAGTAAATATTCTCTTTTCGTATTCATTAAATAACTGATATATCTGGTCTATATAAAGACCGCATACATCACTTATTTAATGAATACGTAAATGGAATCTTTGTTTATAACATCGACCCGAGGGTGTGCTATTTTGTACAGTCATTAAGATATGTTGAAGAAAGATGGGATCATGAATAATAGTTGAAGAAACAAATTGTGTTGTGTATTTTGTTTACTTTGAGAAGGTGCTTGTGTTGTAAGGCTTAATGGAAATGTGTTTTGAGAACAATAACTAAAAAGCATGGTGCTGTTGTGTTAGTTTCATGATCTTTTTTTTCTTTTATGTTTTAAAACATATATAGGTTATGCAAATAGTAGTTACAATTATCATAAATGTGGAAGTACTAGCATGTTGTTTTCATGTGCTAAAAACCAATCAGTGTTCACACTCTTGTAGGGCCAGGGATACAATTTGATTAGCATATTCCACAGCAACAAGACAACAAAGTTGCAAAATAACAATTGTACAAAACCTGATGTTTGCCCCACTTATAATTGTATGTCCCCATTTTTATAAAAGGGGTGTTGCTCATTACATTCCATTTAGTGGCCCCACACACTATGGAAATTATAAAATGTTTTCACTACACTCCATGTAGTAGGCATGATAAAAAAAAAATCTGACTTTAGATTTCAATTTGAGAGAAACTTATATATATTTGTGATTAGATTAGAGGTCATTAGAATGTTTTTAGTCTTTTTATGCATTTTGAATTTTAAATTCAATCAAATGGATGTAAAGAGAGTCTTTTTGAATGGTTACATTCAAGAGGAAGTGTAAGTGTACGTTGATCTTCCTTTCGATTTTCTAAACTCTTCTTTTTCCTAATTATGTCTTTAAGCTGAAAAATGCTATTTCCGGTTTAAAACAAGTTCATTGGACTTGATGCGAATATTTGAGCAAGTTTCTTTTTTAAAATAGTTCTCAAAAGGAAAGGTTGATACAATTCTTTTTATTAAAAAAATCGAGCATGATAATTTACTTGTACAAATTTATGTCAATAGTATTATTATCGATGCTACTAACGAATCTTTGTGAAAGGAGATTTTTGATATGATGCAGAACTAATTTGAGATGTCAATGATGGAGGAGCTACGATACTTACTTGAATTACATATTCATCAATCAAGGGACGTGACTTTCATCAATCAAATAAAATACTACAAATAATTGCTAAAGAGATTCGACATTGATAAAAACCCATATGAGCATGTCATGCATCTTAAACAATGACGAAGACGAAAAGGTAGTAGATGAGGGAAAATATTGAGATATGAAGGATTCTCTCCTTTATCTTACTGCATCTCGTCTTGATATCATGTTTGTTGTTTATTTGTGTGCTCGTTATCAAGAAAACCCTAAAGAAAAACACCTCACTACGGTAAAACACATTATAAGGTATCTCACTAGGACACCATTTATGGATTTATGGTACTCCAAAGGGACGAATTTTACTTTAGTTTGATACTCCTATTCTAATTTTACTGGGTATAAATTGGATTGAAAAACTACAAGCAATATGTGTCATTTACTTGGAAACTTGCCTGTCTCCTGGCATAGTAAGAAACAAGCAAGTGTTGCATTATCCACAGTTGAATCAGAATATGCTGCTACGGGTAGTTGTTATGCGTAAATTATCTGGATGAAACATCAGTTGATCATTATGGAAATGATCTCGTAACTGTCCCAATAAAATGCAACAACGCAAATGCCATAAACTTCAAGAAAAATTTGGTACTTCATTATGTACTAAAAACGTTGAGGTTCTGAACCATTTTATTAGGGATCACGTCGAAAAAGGGGATTGCGTAATTGATTTTTTTATCCTCATCTAGTCAATTGACATATATTTTTACAAAACCTATTCCTAAAGATTTTTTTTCATAAGAACTGACTTATGACTCTTAAAACAATCATGTGCAGATTAAATATTTTAAATGTTTCTTCTCCTTCTTCTTTTTCCCTTTCTATATGTGTTTGAAAATTTCCTGCCTTTTTTATTATGGCAAAAAGGGTGAACCATACTCTTAGGAAATGAGGGGAGGGGGGGGGGGGGTTAGAGTATACACTACTACGTAAAACATTTCATACCTCGGTTGGGATTGGCCTTGGTCTTCCTTCCAAGGATACACCCTCACATATCTCACGGTAAAAGCGATCGTAATGACCAACATCAGTTTCTTGAGACATGATCATGTGATTAATCCTTTAAATAGCAGCAACATGATTTTCATTCACATTATTCCATATGGACAAAAAACTCTCATCCGTATACGCACCAAAAGACTGAAAATCAGCATCCTGAGTGGCCATATGTTCCTGCATTAAACGAAACAACTCCTTCTGTGTAGCTTCATAGGTTTCTCTCCATCCGAAGTCCTCATCATACCTTTCATCTTGCTTCACCTACATGTTCTGAAGCATGATCATTATAGAGGAAGTATCACTGAAACTAGCATGAAAACCAACAATGTGATCAACTCCATGATGAGCATCTTGCTTGGTAGCATCTTCTTCTGGAGCATCATGAGGAACCTCCAAAGGTTGCTCATCGTCCATATGATCTTTCGCATCATCTTCATCAATTTCAGTTGGATCATCAAAGTTATAGATCTTCCTGTCATTCTTACCCAGGTGAAGATAATATGCACGACGATTGATGTCCCAAAAATAATTCATGTTCGTCAAGAGAGAATTCTTGAGACGAACTAGGAGATTTATGGATGAGATTTGACATGCCAATGTTGAAATAGTTCAAAATATTGGCAATCATAGAGGGATAGAAAAAGGATGTACCTTTGTTGCATGTCCCAACAGAGAACATGCGAGACACAAAGTAATACGACCAAGATTATGATGAGTACACGAACAATCCATTTCATGTAGTCCTGAGTAAAATACACGAACAAGATCATCATTGTAATCTTGAGGCAACTGTAAGAAGTAGTCAATCTTTTGATGCTCAACTCGCTTCACAACCTCAAGTAGATATAACCCTCCAATCTTATCGGGATTCCACATGAATTGTTTGACAACAAGATGGGTCTTATGCTTTATCTCAAAATCTCTAGGATACTTCTTAGAAACCAAAGTAAATGGATTCCCCGGGGCAACTGTAGATGTAATAGCTTTGCTCTTGCCTTTAGCCATACTTTTAGACTTGAAAGCCATGAAAATGTTGAAATGAGATGTTAACACCAAGTGTTTATCAAAATGATTGAATGAAGAATGTGAGAGAATGAGAAAACTATGAGTACCCACACAATCAAAAAAGATGGACAAGAACAACATGACACAAAGAAATAAAGATTAACCACAAACAAGAGAGAAATTTGGATTTTTGATGAGATATGATGAATTGGGGTTTTAGAAGTAAAATGGGAGAGATTTGATTGAAATGAGAATGATTTGAAAGAAATTTAATAGAGAGAGATGTGAAATGTATGTGACTTTGAAGGAACTGGTGGAGATTGTACTGATTTTAAGTTGAACCAAGAAATTCAAGAGAGTTAGAAATATGGTGCATGCAAGAGAGAAGAGAGAATGAAAGAAAATGTCTCAATTATGCACTTATGAGTCGACCTCAGGACGAATGTGTCGACCTATCTAGGTCATAGGTCGACACATACTGAAGTGAAACAACAGAATTTCAGAAAATTAAGTCATGTTTCGACCTGTACTAACATGTGTAGACTTATATTGTAGCTTTTCTGAAAAATACCAAAATTGATTATTATAGGCCGACCTATACGAAACTGTGTCGACCTAAAGAACTAAAAGTTTCAAAAATCTGACTCAATTGAACTTGCAATGACCTTGGGAGACTTAAATTGACTCGTGAATAATAACTTGATGAGAGACACATACATATGATAATGTTCAATGGTTTGTTTGCTAGATTTATGCAATCATGATGATGCAAACATGAATGATTCAAGATATAGATCAACATATGAAGACATTTGAATATAGTTACTATAAACATATAAAATGCAACACACAATAATCACATTTGATATTTTTGTAAGTAAACACATATCACAAACATCATACACATAATTCATCACATACTTTTGAGAAATAAACAAATAAAAGAAATACTTACTTACAAAATAAGAAATGATATAAATGATATTACCTCACCGTACACTGGACAGAGGCTGCACATGCATTTCACAAGGAACTTTCAAACAAAAGTTGGAATGAATGCAAAACGTGTCAAGCAACATGAAAGAAACTGAAACGTTCTTACCACTTTTCTTCTTGCACAAGTATTTGAACGTGAAATTAATAATGTATCTAAGAGGTACTTTGGCTTGATGATCATCTTTGTTATTGGTATTTCATCCTTATTCAATCATGATGATTATCTTTCTCCTTCTCATGTTTCATCATCTTAGGTTGATCACTCCTAATTTGATGCACTTGAGTATGTCTTGTTGAAGATAAGCCTACATCATTGAACATAATACCTTTCTGACACTTCTTGGATAGAATATTAGTAATCATTAACACATTTTTACCAATTAAAGAAACACTAAGAGTTAACCTTTTTGGCAATACAAGTCGCCTTGCTTGTCACATAGATCAACACAATAAGTACATGTCACCTTATTGTGCCTTGATCTTCCATAAATGAGATCCCATACCCTCTTCATAGAGTCAAGATATTTTTCCTTCATGATTAACAATTAGGGCTAGGTACCCAATCCTCATTGAGTCCTTAGGGATTGGTGTCACTTTGGTTGCATTTAGGCCCCCATCAAAAAACACCTTTAGAAACAAAGAGTTTTCTAAAATGCACTTAGCAATGGTCTGACCCTTCTTGCAACAATAATAACAATACAAATTATGAGAAGATAATCTTTTGCTATTTAGTTCCTTTTTTAATGTAACTATACCTTATATAAGGATTATGAGATGGTAAGTCATTTGGAAGTGTCTATAGAAAAAGTAACCTTGTTGCAACGCCTTATATAACTTAGATTTAAGAGCTCTTAACTTTTTTTTGTCAAATATGACAAGTTTCACAATCAAACCATAAAAGTTTAGAAACTTCATTTTGATCTTTTAGAATTTCTAGTGTAGACTTCCTTAAAGCTTCCAAATTCTTTCCATTTTCTAAAATCTTAGCTTCAAAATGAGATATAATCCTCTTATTTGAAACTAATCTTTTGAAAGCATCTATGACTTGTCTTTGTAGATTTTCAAAAGATTCTTGAAGTTAAGAAAAACCTAAGTCATGAGAAGCTTGAAGTTTAGAGTGACTTACAACCTTTTTCTTCCTTTGCTTGCCATATAACAAAGCTTTGGCGATTCAACACTTGAGGTTGAGCTATGATCGCTTGAAGAATCATTTCGCTCTCCCAAGCAACATAAACTCTTCTAGATTTCCTAGACCTCTTCTCGTGGCCTCTTTCTTTCTCCTTCTTGATTCTAGGAAATCCGACTTAATGTGGCCCGATTTGCCACAATTATAGCAAGTACTTCTAGACTTATCCTTTTTGCTCTCATTCTTTTGAGGAGTTTGATAACCTTCTTGATTTTCCATGGTTCTTATTGGGATATTTGTTGTCATGTTTCCACATGTATTTATTAAGTTTTTTTATAAACAGTCTCATATCTTCTTCATCCGACTCATTGTCATCTTTAGATTTACAACTTTAGTTTCTCAAAATATTTTCTTTAAAGAATGGTCTTTAAAAAAAACTTCATCCACACTTTTAGTCCCTCCTATAACTTAGTGGTGATTTTTACTATTTAGCGACAGAATTAGCGACACTTTATTACTTAGCGACTGAGTTAGTGACAGTTTTAAAGATGATTTTAATATTAAGAATCAAAAACGTGGATGAAATTTTTTAAGAAAATATTTAAAAATATATATATTTAGAGGGATTAAACAAACATTATTAAGATAATAAAAACAATTATTTTCCTATAAAAAAATCAATTGAATACTCAATAAATATTTACCTTGGTCATTTTCTTCTTTGATTTAATATGTTTCTTTTGTCATGTATGTTAACTAGGATTTATTTTAGTCCAATGATTTAAAAATTATATATTAATCCTTTAACTTTTTAAAATGAATTATATTAATCATTTTTATTAATTAGTTACAAATTTAGTGATGGATTTTTAATTTTTTTCATTCTTAATTAAATGAAAAGAAATAGTAGTTGAAACATCAATTTGATACTTTTTAGATTAAGAGACTAAAATAAACTTTGAAATTGACAAAAGATATTAAACCATTTCTTTTATCTAGGGTTGGCTAATTTCATTACATATAAGACCATAAACTTCCAATTTTGTCTATAGAAAAGCTCCCAATCTAAACATATAATAAATAAACAAAATAAGGGTGGTTGACCGTCAACTAATTACTTAAAGATACACTCATTTTCATCATCATCATTATAAGGGCCCATTAGGCCTATGTCTCATGGCCCATAAGTTTTCATGTGTCATTAATTTTGACCATATTGAAGATGTTTCATATTTAGTAAATTAAAATATTTTTCAAAATATTATAAATTTGGGTGAACAGAGTAACTCATCTCTATATGTTAATTGAGTTAAACGAGTGTAATTTATAGGTTCATGATTCAATACCTTCTTCAATGATTGAGCTTTTTCAATGCTCTAATCTAAAAGTAACATCAAGTACAATGCTTTAGCTTGTAGACCAAACCAAAGGAACAAAAAGAAAACTTCAATACAAAATCTACACATGCATAAAGCACAAATGATTCTACTTGATAACACACAAGGATTATAAATGCAGCAAATTCTTATGTGAAAATTGAATTTGAAAACTTTGTAAATTTGTAAATGATCAATCTTTGTGACTATTAGTGTTCACAAAATTTTACACTAAAGCCTAAAATGTTACATCACATTCCTAAAATCTTTACATCCCAAGAGTATACACGTATAAATTCATCAAAAAGAATCGATAAGACTTTATGAAACACGACACCGACACTGACATGTCAAGACGTAATGACAAGTGTTAGTGTCAATTTAAGACCTGACACTGACATGGACACACTTTTTTTTAGAAGTGTCGGTACTTCTGAGTGAAGGGTCGTGAAACGTTTTCAATATCAGTCAGATCCAACAGAGATTGTATCACTTGAAATGCTGCCATGACTACTACTATCACAAAGAGCGAAAGCGCGTTCTAAATTTGCTACAATATCCGCCATTGTTGGTCTATCTTTTCCTTCGAAATGCACACAATGCATTGCAGTATATGCTACCAATTCCACTGCTTCTTTTTCATTCATCTCTGGTTGTTCAACTCTTTGATCCAAAATTTTCGCTATTTCTCCTTCCATGATTATAGGCACTGCAAAATCGACTATACTCACCGGTGTTCCTCCATTTTCGTCGTTCTTGAATATAGCTCTTTTTCCTGTTAGTAGTTCTAGTAAAACTACTCCGAGACCATATACATCACTCTTTGATGTTAATACATTTAGACCGTAATATTCGGGATCGATGTATCCGACTGTTCCAGCTGCTTTTGTTGGTATGTAGTCGTGATCAGAATCCGGGCTCATTAATGATAATCCAAAATCAGACACCCGCGCCGTCCAATTCGCATCAATGAGAATGTTTGATGACTTTATGTCTCTGTGAATTATTGATGGAACTGCATAGTTATGGAGATACTCGATTCCCCGCGAAGCATCCAATGCGATTTTGATCCTCATTTTCCAAGAATTCAATAAACTACTATTCTTGTTGACGTTATTCTTGTCGTGCAAATGATCATACAATGCTCCATTCTTCATGAACTCGTACACCAAGAGCCTTTCATCTTTCTCGTCACAGAAACCGACTAGCCTAACTAAATGCTTGTGATGCAGACGTGACAAAAAGGCTAATTCGGACTCGAATGCGCTCTCTTTCTCTTGAAACACCTTTGTGATCGTACCGGTTTCGCCTCTTTTGATTGCTACCTCGCGGCCATCAGCGAGTTTACCTTTGTAAACAACACCATAGCTTCCAGCACCAATCTTGTTCTCAGGTGAGAAACTGTTGGTGGCTGAAACAAGCTCGGCAAGAGTGAACTCCTCTGACTTATCTGGTTGTCTTGTCGACGAAGTTCCGCTTCTCTGACGCCTCATTATCCTCGAACTTTGTCGCCTAATAGTGGACGCTCTTGAAGGCGGACTAAAATTTGAAAATGCGGCGCAATTGAAACTTCCAGCCCTAGTTATCGTCGGTTGAACTGAGCTGTGAACTTTCTTCTTACCAAAACAAACACCAGTCCACAAACAATAAACCACAGTGCAGAAACCAGCAAATGTTCCAATTGATCCAACAATAACAAATGCCAATAAACCATTTGTCAATGTCTTCGATCTCGAAACCGGCATCCCCGACTGCATCGGTGATTCTCCTTCTGGCGGCGCCAGAACCTCCATTTGAGGCCAACAAGGTTTCGCCTTACAAATGTTACCAAAACTAGAACACAAATACTGAGAATGTGGATATATACCGCATTCACTACAAGATGATTGAACACAAACACCTGGTAGAATAGGAGGCAAAGGAAGCTTAAAAACCGAATCCGAACCGTTATTAAACCAACCAGGACCCCAACAAATAACAGAAAAATTGTTTGTTGTTAATCCGCAAGTAAAATTCGAAGCTGAAACAATAACCTCGAAAGATACTCTTTGTGTCGCATTAACAGAAAACAATCCTTTACCACCCCAACAAACAACAGAACCATTAGATCTTCTAATAGCGCAACTATGTTCAGCTCCTAGCGCTAAATCAGAATACTCCAAAGGCTTAACTTGACTAGGAACATTAATTTGACCAAAATTGTTACTTCCTTTACAAACTAAAAACCCTTTTGAATTCAATCCACAAACATGTGACTCACCAGCTACAAGACTCACCATAGAAACATTCATAAACTCGTTTTCTATCTTTTCAGCTATTGATCCATTCACATTCCCAAAACAACGAACCGACCCAGAATTGTTTCTCTTCAAAATTCCACAAGAGAATCCATACCCAGAAGTTATCGACGAAAATTGATCATACCCAGATGGCAAAACGAAACCTTTATTGATTCTCCAACACGACACCGTTCCGAGGTTAACAACCGTGGCACAAACATGGGAATCCCCGACGGAGAGATTCTCGTATAGAACAGTACCATTGTAGTAAAGTCTTCTCCTTTCAAAAGTTGTGTTTGATGAAACAGTGTCCCAACAGAGGATACTGTAGTTACCGGAAATAATGCCGCAGAAGTAGTTTTTCCCGCCGGCGATTGAGGAGAAGGAGACGTCGGGTATGGCGGGGATGAGACGGCCGTGACGGTAGCAGACAATGTTACGAGATTGGTTTGCTGATACGATGCCGCAGACGGTGGCGGTGGAGTCGACGACGGCGAGGGTGGTGCCGGAGCCGATGGCATTGGAAAAGGGTATTGAATAAAGGAGAAAAACGACGGTGAAAGATGAAAAAACGACGGAAGAGAGTGAATTGGTCTTCATAAAAGGATTGGATTGGTGATGAGTTCACGTCGTTTATGCTTCATTGGGGCAGAGAGAGAGAGAGAGAGAGAGAGAGAGAGAGAGAGAGAGAGAGAGAGAGAGAGAGAGAGGTTTTTCAGTTTGTAATGTTGTGTGTGCTACGTTAGATACAAGAATTTCAAGTTTGAACTTTTGAACCTCATTTGAGTTTCATTTTGTTTCTTATTTTTTAGGAAGCGTTTGGTTTCTCTAAATATATTTTTCTTTATTATTCATTTAAAAATATTATTGATTTCAAATTTTTTTTTTTTAAAGGTGTTAGATTTATAAACATCAACGACAAAGCTGAACCTACAGGATGCAACCCTTTAATTTAATTCAATTGAGTCAAAAGAAGTAGTTTTGTTTGAAATAAATAAATTTTATTGATGTAAAAAAATACTATTAGTTTACCTTAGTTTGAATGATTCATTAACTATTTCACTCCGAGTAAAAAATCTATAATTAAAGAAGATTTTATTTATTAAAAAAGTTATATCAATATAGTTTTATTGAATCTTGAATAGTCCATAAAAAGTAAGAATGTTAAACACATTGGTGAGAGGCAAGTTACATATACTTGTCCAATACATGTCAAAAAACAATTGCTTAAATTTGGTGATAGGTCGTTCTATTAAGCTTGAAATATCTAAGGTAATCTTAATTATTCAATAAATGTGGTTGATGAACTAAATAAAGTCAATTAATGGAGTAAATATTTCCTCTATAATTTAAGAAGAACAAGTTTTCACTTGACTATTTTCTTAGTGGAGATAAGGCAAAGTTACACAACTAATTAGCATTTTACATAACTTATATTTTCTAGGTGAGTTTGATCTAACAACACACAAATCCCAACAAATATAAAAATTAAAAATAATCATGTATTTTGGAACAACTTTTTTTTTAGCAAATACAAAAATTAAAAATAATCATGTATTGTGAAATACTAACTTTTTTTTTTATCAAAAAGAGTAATATTTTAAAGTTTGAATGGTTATATAAAATTTAGACATTGAATTTATCGCAATATTTCATATTTAAAAATTTTAAAATAATTTAAATAAAAATCAAAGGTTAACATTCAACATTTGTAATTGATTGATATTGTAAAAATTCTTTTTATACCAATTAAAATTTTATTGTATTAATTATAATAAATTATATATATATATATATATATATATATATATATATATATATATATATATATATATATATATATATATATATATATATATATATATATATATATAATTTTTATTTAAAAAAATTAAAAACATATTTGTTTCTACGAGTTTATAAATAGTACTTCATCCGTCTCACAATATGTGTTTTTTTTATTTATTTAACTTAAATTATTTATTTTTTTAAAATATCAATGTAATATTTATTATTTCTTTTCACTAATTTATTCTTATTTATTATTGTTTCTGTTTTTTATTATAAGTCGTTTTTGACTTTTCACATATATTAAAAAAATATAATAATTATAGAATAAAGAAAAGAAATTGTGAAAGCTTTTATAAAATTGTCATTTATTAATGTTATTCGAAAGACAAATCTACATGATTGAAAAAAAAGAAAATGATAAATATTTAAGGATATAAAAAAATAATATTAATTATTAATTAATATTAAAAAATAATTTATATTGTGATACAAAATTTTTTTCAAAGTGATTTACAATAAAAAAAACCGATATAGTATATTTTAATTCATGTAACTATTAAACTATTTATTATTAATAAGATTATTTTATTAAATAACATTTATTTTGTTATTAAAATTAATATAATCAATCATTATTTAAAAAAATATGAAAATCTCAAAAAAGACATAAACTTATTTATGTGAAAATCTATTGTGATACAGAGTGAGTATTATATTTAATGTTTTTAAATATAAAAGTCAAGTCACCTTTAAAAAAAAGTTAATTAAAATTAAAATAACATTTTGACCACATAAACTTATTTATATTGTCTAATCGTCAAAATGAAAACTAAATTAAAAGAAAACATAATGCATATAGAGTAGTTGATTCTTCTCAAATTACACCTTTATTTAGATCAACTTATTCTTTTAGCACCTTTTGAAATTTTGATTTTTCTTAAAAATTTGTTATATGAAATTCCACGGTTTTAATATTAAAACAAATTACTAAAATTGATGATAGCCAAACAAATATTTATTTTTATTTTGTTAATATCTTTTTGTGACATAATTAGAGTAACGCAGAACACGCCAAGAGCACGTGATCATAATATTATATTAATTTATGTATTGTATTAATTTGTTATCATAATTTTCAGTATATCTTTTACTATTCTTTTTTATTTTAAAATAATACATTTCATTAATTTATACTATATTTTTCATACAACTTACATTTTATAATTAATCCATACAAATCATTAACAAATAAAGTCGAACAATAAAAATAAAAATAAAAGTTTGTAATATTTCACATTTCAAACCTGTATTAAAACTATTTTGCAATTTTGTAATAGGATTAGGAGAAATTTCAGGAAGAAAAAACAAAAAAATTAAAAAAATAAAATAACAATCAAGAGAATTTGAAACACAAAAATGATAATTATAATCATTGGTCCGATTTAACGATGTGGCGGTTCATAAACACTAAAATTAAAAATCGAACTAAATTATCTCAATTTTCACCGATTTGGTTTGATTTTTTAACCAAATAAAAAAATCAATTTTTTTCATTTAATTTAATTTAAATTATCAGTTTAATCGAATTTTTCTTATACGCTTATACCCTAGTCATGAATCTCTTAAAAAAGTCATGTTACTAATTTTTAGTGATATTCAAAATTCAAAAATGAGAAGTACAAGCAGAATGAGTAATTCAAATTAAATAAGCTGATTTTTGCAAAAGAGTGAAAAGCGAGAAAAGGACTGAAAAATGAAATAAGTTGTAATTTTGCATTTTGTTCGGTTGTTTTGGAAAGTTTTGCAGTTTGTTTGTTAATAAAAATTTCAGAGCCTGATTGTGGGACCCAAAGGTGGTAACAGAGACAAACAAATGCTTTTTCTTTATCCTTTCTCTTTTATTATTATTATTTTTTTTTAATGTATTCGAATTATTTCATGGAAGAAATATTATTTTACAAGATTATAAAAAAAAAATAATGAATGTAAAAAAAGAAAAGTAAGTGTGAGTTCAGTTTAATACTCAATTCGGGCGACTTTTACTTTGAAGTTTTCAAAAATTAAAATTAATTCCGTTTTTGAGTTTTAGTTTATAAACATTAAAATCAATTTTAATCTTGAGTTATTAAATAAACAAAAAATAAAATTTTAAAAAGTAAATATAAAAATAAATATATTTTAATCCACATAATTTATATTAATATTATTAGATTTGTAAAATAGTTAAAATATTAAAATAATTAAAATATAATGAATTTTTTCATCATAATTTTAATATTAATAGTTAAAAATGGTGGTTAATACTGAGAATATTTAGCTCTTATTAGATTTAACTAAGAGCATTTTTAATGAGAGTAAATTAAATGGGTAAACTAAGATATTTTTTGTCGGTCTAAAGTGTTTTGTAGAATTTAAAAAATTTATAGTTGATTTGAATAGTTTTTACTTTAACGATGATTGTCTATAAGAAAGCAAAATTTGATCCTACATTTTATATTTTTTATTCAAGTAACCATTAATTTAATGTTGTTGAAATATTTTATTAATATTAAATAATATTATAATATGTTAGTGTGATAGTCAATAGGTATAATTAGTATATTATTGATCGAAGATAGTCATATCGGTAGTTAGTAGTGACAAAATTATGGTTGATATTGGTTAGATTAGAGATCACATGTGAATAAAGTGGTGTTGAGAGGTGATCATGGTGATTAAGAGTGATTAGATGTGGTCTAAATAGTTGTAGGAGTGGGGATTAATGGTGGTCAAAATAGTTGTATAAATGGTGATTAGTAGTGATTAAAATAGTTGTTAGAGTGGTAATTATAATGTTGATGATTATTAGTGGTGGAATTTTAGCATTAAAACAAAAAATGGGAATCTAAAAATCTATTTTTATCTTTTGTTGAATTTTAGTGAAAATTTTAAAATAAGTAAAGATCAAAGCAATTCCATTTTGTTGAACATGTTTCAGTTTTAAAAATGACTTTCAAAATCAAAAACCAAAAACACACAACAAATCCTTAGAAATTAAATTTTAAAGTTTGGATAAAATTACTAATAGGTATGTGATAGAATTAAGATTCACCGCAACCAAAAATCGTTGCAGGCACACATTCAAAAGTTAATAATCGTTTGACTATGATCAAACGGTTATGACTTATTATTAGTAGTTTCAAAATTATAACATTAAAATGAATATATTTTTTAAAAATCGTGCAATCAAAATTCTAGCATTATCTCATGAATGCTTCTTATTACCGACTTTTTACATGTTAACCTTAGAATATATTTATCCAACAAAAAGAATCAATGATGAATTTAGAATTTGATTTAGATTCTCAAGCATCCACAACATAACTTCTTAAAATGGGTATTAAGTGGGTCATACATATACACTTTATTCATTTGCAATATTTTTATTTATCGGTAACTAACAAATACTGCTTCTCACTAATACATTGTATCTAAAAAAATTAAGATTAAATATACGATACTTTTACAATGTGAACAACTTTTGTTTACTTCTTATAAATTTTGTTTTGGATTTTCCATTGGAATATAGGGGTAAACTAATAAAACTTCTAAATGCATCATCTATATCATAAATAGATGTTGTAATCTTCTAATACATATTATTCTTGATTTTTCTCTTGTTTGTTTGGATCATCTAAATGTTGGTGTCACTGATTTTGTGATATGTAGTAAGAAGGAAGTAAGAGACATAATTGAGAGATAGTAATCGAGTGAGGGAAAATGAGTTTATTATTTGATTATTGATTACACAATACTCAAGTTGTTTCATT